TCATCATAATTATCAGAGTCATCATAATTATCAGAGTCATCATAATTATCAGAGTCATCATAATTATCAGAGTCATCATAATTATCAGAGTCATCGGAATTATCGGAATCATCAGAATTATCAGAGCTATCAGGATCGGAATTACTAGATGGTTGATCGTCTTCTTTTGGGAGCATTAAAAATGACCCACCAGAAACAATTGTATTATAATTCCCGTCACTTGTATTGAACAGAAAGCCAAATTTCCAAACTCTATGTGTCAAAAGATCATCAGGTAATTGGAATTCGAAATGTTGGGATTCAAATGTTATATCTCTATCAGCTTGGAAAGGATAAGACCGAGTGTTATTATTAACTGCGAGTTCTAATAATGCCTATATAAATTGATAATTGTAGTATTAGAGATGTTAATCGGTTCTTTGGGATCGAGTTCTAACCGATCCTTTCAAATCCTTTTAAGACTCAGTCCCTAAATCACATGAAAACATAATACATTATATAGGACTAAAATCCCGAATTTAACAATGCGGATTAAATTTCAGGGTCTTCATTCATAACAAAGTTTCAATGTATTGCTTTTGTCAATTTTATTGGATGGACTTATTTAATAATTGCGATTTAGGATCCAATCCTGGGATCGATCAACTAACGGTTTTTTGTATCAAGTCCGGGACCGTCGTTTCAGGTCCTAGGACCGAATCGGATCCATAAAACTATTTATCTGTACTTACGTGAATGAATTTGATGCCCTTAACACCAGGTTTTTCATAAGTTCCATACCAATTAGCTATTAACGTGTCTCCGGGATGTATGATCGTACCCGCTGCAGGTTCCACTATACTAACTCCATAGCCCGGGTCTCCAATAGTAAAAGTGGCTGAATAATCCTCTCTAGTAGGGCCCCAAAAATTAATGTAGTAATAAGGGCCAGGAACTGTTTCCGGAATTGCAAGTTCAAAAGTGTTGAGTCCAGGCTTAAAGGAAACACCACTCAAGAGTGTGCCACCACCAGAAGGGGATTCTCGATTTCTTAAATTTATATTATATGTGCCTGTGTAGTTATCTGGGGCCATAACTTGAAATTCACACGTATCACCAGGCTGAAAGCTTTTCCCAGCGAGATCTGAAACTATCCAAAGCGCATTTGGTGTTGGATATTGCGCATTTGATTCTTGATCTTTCGCAAAAGCATTGCAAAGGAATGTGAGTAAAAGTGAGATAACAATAATTTTTTTAAAAATCATTGTTGCTATATATTTATTAAAATATAGGAAATTTTTAAGATGGTGCCAATTGAACGAAGAGTTCAGTCTTCGTTCTTTTATATCAGTTACGAAATACGTGTAAAATGTGTGAACAAAATATTTTACTTAATTGGAAATTAATATATATGCACGTGTAACAATTATTCTATTATTTTTTACTATATATGTATTATAGAATAATATTTTTGTGCTTGAGCAATTGCATAATGCATTATTTAATGTTTTATCCAATAGCCGGTTTTACGTATTGTTAACCTGTCAAACCAGTTATTAATAATTTTTGTTAGCGCTGGTTGGTTTTTTAAAAAAATTGAATTTACATTTTCTAGAAAAAAAAAAAGATTATGCATAAAAATTAAAAACTGAGTTGGAAGGCCGTGTTACGAAAGTTACAATATCTAATTTTACGTACATAAGTTAAATCAGATTTCTGTAATTTTCATCATGTTATTAATAAAACACAACAAGCTTTACAAAAAGTAGAGGTGGGATCCGTGAATATCCACGGTTAAAAATGAATATTCAATTTAAAAACGAATATTCTGTTACACAAATTCGTGAATATTCAATACATGAACGTAGCCGTTGTGAATAATCTAATAAATTTGATCATTTTTAAATCCGGATACATGGATATTCAAAACTTGTAAATATATGAATAACAACAACGAATATTCAAAGAATCCCACCTCTAACAAAAAGTTCGGCCAGTATGATTACATAGTTTGATTTAAATATATGGTTCGAAAGTAACTCCTCAATAAAACTAATCTATCACAAATTGCATAAAATCAGGGCAATTTTACAATCCTACATGTTATGAGAACAAACTTGATTTATTTTTATATAGTATTACATTTCATCATATCACAGGGTTTAAAAAAGAGCTTAGCGTTATGATGAAACTTTTAATACAAACTATATGAACTTCATTCTTCAATGCTCTAAAATTTTTCTTTGCATCATCGATCCAAGGTTTTATCTCTGCATTCTATTATTATTTTTAATCATTAATAGATAATTTCAAAATTCTTGGAAATAATAAGATTATTAGAGTAGTGTATATCAAAGCATTTAATTCAATTAAAAAACAAACATAGTCAAATTTTTCTGTTACCTAAAAACAAACACAAAAATTATTTAGTTAAGAACAAAAAAGATCATTTAATAACAGCTTTGAACACACGAATCATTTTGGTTTTCTTTTTCATATGATTTTCAAGAATGTGTTCATATTTGGTGTTTTCTAACATATGCAGATAGCTACTGCCACACCAACATCATTCACTATTCACATATCACTTTACATTTCATTTTTTTCGGTAGGAGAAGACAAAAATATAATAAATTATTTCTCTCATATATGCTGTTTCGCCATTTTCTTATGAAAAACCAACAAATTCATCATATCTAGCAAATTCAAGTTGCTATTAATTATAATAACTTATGCACTATTTTAAGGCCAGAATAGTTTACATGTTAAGATTACATTTTTGAGTATGAACAATCAATAACTTATCGTATTTATTAGTTCTGAAGCTATGAGATATGTGTCATGATCTTCTCAGACCACATTTATAACCACATGATTACGATACTAAACATACACCTAAAAAACAAATACTCACCTTTTTTCACACTAATCATCCTTCAATTTTTATCAAGGGTTGCTCTATGTATAACATATCATAAATACCACTTCTTACTATTGAATAATTTTACTGTAACAGTATTCATATATTCTGTTGACAGAATACGTGTGTAATGGCAATTTGATATTAATATTCCAATATTTCATAAGCAGAATGTACTTGATCTAAGACTTTTAGCAATTATAATATGGTCTTAATTTTTATATAGACCGTGCAAATTATTTTTATTGTAAAAAAATATAGATGTATTGATTATGAAGATATTTATTAAGTTAAATATATGTCCAATTAGCCCTAGTCCTCATGTCCAATTGGACATGCAGATAGGGTTGTTAACTTACATGTAAACTAGAAATGAAACATAGGTATAATGAGTCTAACGAATAACTATCAAATGTATACATAAATGTATGTTAAATTTAG